AAAAAATGCCGGAAGTGGCACTGTGGCTTTAAGTGATAAGAGTGCTAGCCTGGAGTGAAATGAAGCTCAGGGACAGTGCCCAGGCCTTGAGTTCAAGCCCCATTACTGGCAAAAGAAAAATAAAAATGAAGAACTTCCTTATATCAAAAGTATAATGAAATATAATTGGAAAGCATATACAACTCCTATAGTACCCATGAAAAATCTGTTTATAACCTCATAATATAACCTCATATAACCTGCATAAATATGGGCTGGGAATGTGGCTTAGTGGTAGAGTGCTTGCTGCATAGCATGCATGAAGCCCTGGGTTCAATTCCTCAGTACCACATTAACAGAAAAGGCCAGGAGTGGTGCGGTGGCTCAAGTGGTAGATTGCTAGCCTTGAGCTAAAGAAGCTCAGGGACAGTGACCAGGCCCTGAGTTCAAGCCCCAGAACTAGCGCAAACACACACACACACACACACACACACACACACACACACACACACTCACAATGCATAATCAATAAATCAAGAGAACTATTAAGGCCTAAAAGATAAATGGAAAAAGACATTACTGGGAACTTAAATATTGAGCGGTTTTAGGTGCCAAGTCCTAGCCATGGCAAAAAGAATCAATAAATGCCAAAAGGTTTTATGAGCGTACGGGGGTGCTCTATGTCTTCACCAAATATATGAAGGCAAACATACATTACAACTGATGGCAAAAAAAATCTGTGCAGGGTGTTAAGATAGAACAAAAGATGGACTAATTGGGCAACTTAATCAGTTGGAGGAAGGCAAAATGGTAAAGTGAAACAAACCTGTCCAGGAATACATAAAAACTTAAAATTCTGACAAGCATAAAATGGGATAAAGCAAAAAAAGAGATAAGGCTGGCAAGAGGGAGAACAGATCTTGAAGGCTCTATTTAATTTACAACTGCTAAGGGCCTTGTATAGATTTTAAACAGCAATGATGTCACCGCAACACTTCCAGACAAATCACCCAGGCAACTGTGTGACACTCAAACAGAAGGGGGTCTAGGTAGAGTGAGCTAGATTTAGCTTAGTTAGAATGATTTCTTAGAGATGATTAAGGGATTCACTACAACAGTTTAAAAAAAAAGGAAGGGAAGGAAAATGGGATCTATATATATTAAAAAAGTAGAATCTGCCAGGTACCAGTGGCTCACCTTGTAATCCTAGCTACTCAGGAGGCTGAGATCTAAGAAACTCAGCAGTTCAAAGCCAACCCAGGCAGGAAAGTAAGACTCTTATCTCCAATAAATTACAAAAAAAGCCAGTAGTGGGCTGGGAAGGTGGCTCAGTGGTAGAGTGCTTGCCTTGCATGCATGAGCCCTGGGTTCAATTCCTCAGCACCACATAAACAAAAAGAAAAAAGCTGGAAGTGGCACTGTGGCTCAAGTGGTAGAGCGCTAGCCTTGAGCTGAAGAGCTGAGGGACAGAGTCCAGGCCCCACGACCGAACCCCCGCACCCCCCAAAAAAAGCAAGTAGTGGAGCTATGGCTCAAGAAGTAGAGTGCTGAAGCTGGGAAGGTGGTTCAGCAGTAGAGTGCTTGCCTTGCAAGCATGAGGTCCTGGGTTTGGTTCTTCAGTACCACATAAACAGAAAAGGTCGGAAGTGGCACTGTGGCTCTTGAGCTGAAGAGTTCAGAGACAGCGCCCAAACCTAGACCACCCATTCCAAGTTCAAGCTTCAGGACCAGGACAAAACAAGTGTAATCCTAGATACTCAGGTGGCTGAGAGCTGAGGATCATGGTTCAAAGCCAGTCCATGCAGGAAAGTCCAAAAGACTATCCTCCAATAAATTACCCTCCCCCTCCCCCAAAAGGCTGGAATTAGAGCTCTAACTGAAGTGATAGGATGCTACCCTTGAGCAAAAGAAACTCAGGAACAGCACCCAGGCCCTGAGTTCAAGCCCAAGGACCAGTACCAAAAACAGGTAGAATCACAGGATTTGACAAAAGAGGTCAATAAAGGTATACAAGGATACAAGAGAGAAGTCTGAAAAATGTTCAGACCTTATCAATAGTTAGAAACACAGGTCAAAGAAACAATCCCTATTTTTCAACCACCATGATAGCAGAAATTAAGTAGTGACAATAAGTCAACACTATTCATACTATTCTAGAAAGTAATTTGGTAATATCTACCACATGTTTCAACAGTAAATATACTTCAGGGTATGTACCTTAAGGAGATATGATATTCAGACTAAGATTTACAAAGCTGTATCTTCTATGAATGATATTTTATTAAGGATAAAGTTACAAAATCTTAAGTGTCCTAAGATCACCACTACTTTATTCTTGTAACTATGTATAAAAACAAATGTTTACTCTCTGGCCTGCTAAAATACGTTTTAGGAAAACAGATGAACAGAAAAAAAACTTACAAATATTCAATGTAGCCATTGTAATGTCAGATGCAACTTAGAAATCTAAATAGACATTAAAAAAGAAATGGCTAAATGAATTATATTTTATCCTTAAAATAGCATGCTATATAGTCATTTAAAAAAAAAAAACAATCAAAGCCCAGCACTGGTGGCTCATGCCTGTAATCCTAGCTACTCAGGAGGCTGAGATTTGAAGATCGCGGTTCATAGCCAGCCCAAGCAGAAAGTCCTTGAACTACCCAAAAGCCAGAAATGGAGCTGTGGCTCAAGTGGTAGAGCAACCAGCCCTGAGCAAAAAATGCTTGATGACAGCAGCCAGGCCCCAAGTTCAAGTTCCAGGACACACACACACACACACACACACACACACACACACACACACACACACACACACACACACACACTTTTCTGACCTAGAAACATTTTGAAATACATTAAATGAAAAAATATGCACAGTATGATACTACTTATGGCAAAATATAAACATGCCTATATGTACATAAATGTGTAAACAGAAGATCTGGAAATTTACTTTCTTGTTTTTTTTGTTGTTGTTGTTGGTCATGGGACTTGAACTCTGGGCCTGGATGCTATCCCTCAGCTCTTCAGCTCAAGGCTAGTGCTCTACCACATGAGTCACAGTGCCACTTCCGGCTTTTCTGTTTATGTGGTGCTGAGGAATTGAACTCAGCAGAGCCTTATGCATGTGAGGCAAGCACTGTACCACTGAGCCACCTTCCTAGAACCCAGATTTACTTTTTTCTTATGAAGAAAGTGAGATAGGGAGAATAAAGTGAGATTTTCCCTTCTTATCCTAGTTTTAGTTCTTTAAGTTCATTGCATTGAAAAAAATAACAAAAAATTAAAAGTTAACAAATAAAAATTAAAAATTACAATGAAGAATAACAAAGCCAGGCACCAGTGGCTCACACCTGTAATCCTGGCTACTCAATATTGAGATCTGAAGATCACAGTTCAAAGCCAGCCTGGGTTGAAAAGTCTCTGTGAGACTCGTTATCTCCAATAAACACTCCAAAACCGGAGGTGGAGCTGTGGTTCAAAGTGGTAGAGCGCTAGCCTTGAGCAAAAGAGCTCAGGGACAGCATCCAGGCCCTGAGTTCAAGGCCTCACAACCGTCAAAAAATAACAATTAGAAAAATACATCAAATGCTAACAGTAATTAAATGGTAGGTATATTGATTTTTCAATTTTTTTCAAAAAATTTTTGTGCCTTTTTTTTACTGAAAGAAAAAATGCTTTTACTTAAAAAAATGTTTACTTTCTGGGATTTGGAATTGCAACTTTATAAAAATCCTCAGATTTTATATGTTGATGCTTTTCTGATATGGTCTAGTAATTCTGGGCTTCTTGAAAGATGGTAAAATGTGTACTAACGGCCATACAGAAAAGCACATTGAGGACACAATTCCAGTATTTATTAATTGCCTATTATGTGCCTGCATCTGTAGTGGTTAACATTTCCTACAAACCATCCTAAATCACAGTGCAGAACATCCCAGAATGATGACGACGGTGACTTCTGCAGCACTCTGCCTCAACAGCCCAGCCCTTATGCTAGAAGCCCCTATTAGGAGCAGACTACATCTTCTGGGAAGGCCACCAAGGCTCTGTTGCTTAAAATAGGAGCCAGGATCCCATTTGTAAGTTAAAAATTTGTGTACTTATTGCGTGTGTTTTACATACACTTAAAAAAACTGTAACGATATAAATTTTAATTATGAATTACGTTCATCTTTAAATTTATACCGTTATTTTGGTATTTTTCAGATGACCAAAATTTAACATGTAAGCTGCTGTTATAAGCAGAAAAACAAACGTTATTCAAATACCCAAGCCAAAAAACAAAAACGAAAAACGTTAACTGGACACCTCGGTAAGGCACGCAGCACTGAAGTAGATGTGGCTACTGATATAATTTACCTGGGGGCTCCCGCGACAAGTAAGCAGTAGATAAGAGTGCTTGAATGGATGGACCACCAATGGTCTCGATGTTTTCCTTAATTCAGGTAAGTAGTTTTCAAACGTTTTTCACCTTCGGTCCCTATTGGGGCCCTCTGAGAGGAGCCCAGACACAAAAATAAACAAACACATACTCAGTCTCGACGGCCCACCATTTCCCCACCAGACGCAGCTAAGACGGTTTCCCAGCACTGTGGAGGGGGGGGCGGGGGGAGGGGAAAGCGGGGAACGAAAAAGGCGGAGGCGTCCCCCGAACCTCGCTTTGGTCTTTAGCATCACCATCCCCGGATCCTCAGTTCACACACACACACCAACCTCTCACGAAACGGGTAATTTTCCTCTTTCTTCCCTCAAACGGTTACAGCGAGACGGTTGACGACGACCAGAACTACTTCTGCTCACGTAAGCGATTGTTCACGTGAGCACCTACGTCATGTGAGATCTCGGTCACGTGAGCAGCTTTCCGCTTAAACTCGGGATCGCGAAGTTGCCGCACTTCTTCCGGTATTGAAATGGGGCGGGCCAATATGATAAAAAGATCGTGATTGGTTGATGAAATACGTCTTACGTGACTGATCATTGGTCTGCTTCTGGAGTTAACCTCCCAGTTGCCTGAGAAACAATGACGTATTTGTTTAATTACTCGTCGGTGATTGGTCTGCCCATTAGGGAAAACTTAAAACTGAGGTTGCCCGCTGAAGTCTGTCCTGTATACTCTTGGTGGCTATGAAGTTCTGCAGCAGTCAGCGACTGGGTTCTGTTCTTGCCCTTTTCTTTTTCGCCCTAGTTTTCTGGGATGTCCTTGGGGTCAGGGCACTGGACAATGGCTTGGCGAGGACTCCTACCATGGGCTGGCTGCACTGGGAGCGGTTCATGTGCAACCTGGACTGCCAGGAAGAGCCTGATTCCTGCATCAGGTATCAGATATTGGGTGGCTACTTCCTCTCGCTTTTCCATGTGTTTGTCTGAGTGTGTTTGGAGAGTCTCAACGGGAACATCTGAGTCTGAAGGAGAGCTCCCTTACTGTTGCTTTGAAAAAAATCCTTACCAGGCGCCGGTGGCTTACGCCACTATTCAGGAGGCTGAGGTCTGCGGATCTATTTTCGAATTCGGTCGAGGGCAGAAAAGTCCGAGAGACTATTCTCTCCAGTTAACTACCGGGAAAAAGCCGGAAGTGGCGCTGTGGCTCAAGTGATAGAGCGCTAACCTTGAGCATCAAGAGGCTCAGGGACTGACAGAAAACAAAAAACAAACTGAGGTGCACTGTCTTGTAACTGTGCGTGTGTGGTATGATTCCTGGGGAGGGTGTCTAATAGTGCTAGATTTTCTTCATATATCATTTGTTCTATTGGTTCCATTTAAGCTAGCACAAACACAACTGTAGAGGATAAAGACAAGTGACTAAGACTTGTGTCATTTGTTTTTGAGGGTCATTAGTTCCTTAGGTTCAGGGAGTTAGAAAAACATTGGAGTCTGTGAAATCTCCCTCACCTCTTTGTCCTTGAATGTGGCAATCAGGCTGGAAGGTAGACCTGGGGAGATTTTAAACATCAAATAATTGAGGCTCTACTTAGCATACCTAATCCTCACTATCCTTGTCTAAAAATTGGGGTGATATCTTTTTTAACTAGAAGATCTGACGCAGAAAGAGCTATAATTTCAAATCAACCGACAACAAAAACGCTGGAATGGAGAGGTGACTCAAGTAGTAGAGCCCCAGACAAAAATGAGTGTATAAGGCTGAGTTCAAGCCCTGGTATTAGCACAAAGAAAATTAGTCAATTAAATGTAAAAAACTGGGGCTGAAATATATAGCCCAGTGGTAGAACAATTGCCTAGCTATGTGGGGATGGCCTAAGTTCAATTCTGAGCACCTCAGAAAAAATGCAAGTGATACCTACTTGATTGGCAAACCTGTATGACAAAGCCAGTGTTGGGTCATTTTGTAAGGGAAATAGGTATTCTTACACACTGTTGTTGGCAACAGTAAAATCTTTGGGAAGGATCATTTGACATGTATCAAAATAATATCTTTGGACTCTAATTTAGCAGAATCCCACAGACTTTTATGGCATTCAACTGCCATTCTCTGATCTCAGCATCCTAAGTAGCTAAGATTCAGGCATTTGCTTTTCTTCCACCAAGCCACATTCTTTTTTTAAAAATTTTATTTATTTTTTATTGTGAAAATACAGTACAGAGGGGTTACAATTACATGGGCAAGATAATGAGTACATTTCTTATTAAGCATTGTAGCCTCCTTTGTTTCCCCTTCCCATCCCTTCCCAGCCTCCCCCCCCCAACCCCACCTCCCCCCCAAGCCACTGGTTTAGAGTTTTGGTGGCAGAGGTACTAAGGAAGTAGGAGTGAGAAAATAATTGTAAGAACAATTAATTTTTACCTTGTCTTGATGGTGAGTACCACATTTTTACTAGAATTTAAAAAATTATGCAATCTCACCAGGCATTGGTGGCTCACACCTGTAATCCTAGCTACTCAGATTGCCATCTAAGAAGCAGGGTTTGAAGCCAGCCAAGGCAGGAAAGTCTGTGAGACTCTTAATCTCCAATTAAGCACCAGAAAAACAGAACTGAAGCTGTGGCTCAAGAGGTACAGCACAAGCCTTGAAACTCATGCCCAGGGCCTGAGTTCAAGACCCAGTACTGGTAGGAGGGGGGAAAAAGAAATCTCAAGGAGTACCTAAGTATTCATTTAATGAATTGTAATAATTATTGGAATTACTATTTCAGTGAACAGCTTTTTATGCAGATGGCAGAGCTCATGGTCTCTGACGGCTGGAAGGATGCAGGTTATGAGTACGTATGTATAGATGACTGCTGGATGGCTCCCCAAAGAGATTCAAAAGGCCGACTTCAGGCAGACCCTCAGCGATTTCCTGGAGGGATTCGACGCCTAGCTAATTATGTGAGTTTACAGATGATTTTTTTTTTCATTCAGGAGTTTGTAAGCACTTCCATATAGAGCATGTTGAGAAATAGTCCTCATGACACTTAGAAAACTGAATGGTTGTTAAACATTGAATTGTTAAGCTTATCAGGTGGAACTTTCATCCATAAGCATATATGTTTTGCAATATCTCAAGGTCCATCTTGGAGAGGGTTTTTTGATGAAACAGTTGATTTTTTTTCTAGGAGGAAAAGGAAACTTGGTTCTTGTTATGTGTGTACATATATTTTCATACAAGCATTGGATAGCTTTTTAGAACACAGAAGTAAAATGTTCTGGATATTGTTCATGAGTATCAGAGCCCAACACTAGCTAAATGTAATGAAGACAGGTTTTACACAGTACTATTGTAATAGGCAGGATAGCCAAGCTGAAATCCAAATGCAACAAAAAGCAATGAGGCTTTGCAGGGCACTGATGGTTCATGCCTGTAATCCTGGCTACTCAGGAGGCTGAGACCTGAGGACCAACGGTTCAAAGGCAGCTGGGCAGGAAAGTCCAGGAGACTTTTACCTCCAGTTAACCACCAGAAAACCAGAAGTGGCACTGTGGCTCAAAGTGGTAGAACACTAACGAGTGAAAAGCTCAAGGACCATACCTAGGCCCTGAGTTCAACCCCCACAACCAACAACAACAAAAAGAACAGATCTAACGAAGACATCAAGAGTGACCAAGACTTGGCAGGATTTGTGTTCAAAATGAGGTTGACCTCACTGGGACATAGTCAAGGCCTACCTGAGAGGACTCAGAAGCCTAAAGAAAGCTTAGTTGAAGAATCTTGATAAATTTATTACTGTCCTGGAAAAATACTGTTTAGCATCTTATAAGGAACATTAGAACAGCTGATAGCTTTCTCCTCAGTTCTGCCTTGTAGCTTACATATATAGTTTGATCTATCTCAACAGAATTGAGTGATTTGTTCCTCTTTATGTGTGTCAGCCCCAGGACTTGAACTCAGGGCCTGGCGGCTAGTTTTGAGCTTTTTTTGCTCAGGGATAGCATGCTACCACTTGAGCCACAGCTCCATTTCCAGCTTTTTGGTAGTTCATTGGAGGTAAGTCTCATGGACTTCCCTGCCCAGGCTGGCATCAAACCATGATGTTCAGATCTGTCTTCTGAGTAGCTAGGATTATAAGCATGAGCCATCAGCACTCAGCTTAGAATTTGTTCTTTACTACCAACAAACTAATCTGCAAAAGGTATTTGTGGAAAAATGCCCCTAATACTTAGTTAAGCACACTTGTCTCTGCTCTCAGCCTGGAATTTTGCTACTTCTTGATTGCCCTTTTATTTTTTTAATTATTTTTTGGGGGTCCGGTCGTGGGGCCTGAACTCTGGGCCTGGGCGCTGTCCCTCAGCTCTTCAGCTCAAGGCTAGCGCTCTACCACTTGAGCCACAGCGCCACTTCCGGCTTTTTTTTTTTTTTCTTAATTGGTGCTGGGGAATCGAACCCAAGGCCTCAGGCATGCAAGGCAAGCGCTCTACCACTGAGCCACCTTCCCAGCCCCTGCCCTTTTATTGTGGAGACTTTTTCATCTCATTTCAGGTCCACAGCAAAGGACTAAAGCTAGGGATTTATGCAGATGTTGGAAATAAAACCTGTGCAGGCTTCCCTGGGAGTTTTGGATACTATGACATTGATGCCAAGACCTTTGCTGACTGGGGAGTAGATCTGCTAAAATTTGATGGCTGTCACTGTGACAGTATAAACCTTTTGGCAAAAGGTAAGTTTCACTGAAGAGATTTAGCCATAAGCAAAGAGGGAAACTTTGAGACCAAGAACTAGTCAAAGAACTAATTATTGTCAATGTATCATATCACTCACCTCTTCTCTTTCGGTTTGTTTATTCCTTTATATGGAATCCATGCACACCTAATCATGACTAACATTGTTAACTTTTAGTTCAACAGGACAGCAAATTCATTGTGAATAGTAATTATATTTAGGAAAATAGTCTAGGATATCACACAGTGAAAGAAGTACCTTCTTCCTGCTTTTCCTCAATATATACATCACCTCTGCACTGTCTACACAGAATAGTCCCAACAGTTTCACACATAGACTACACTATTGGAGCACAGAGCAAACACTTGCCCTGCCACTGGTTTAAAATACAAACAGATGTCCTTTCAGGCAGCATCTTAAAATCTGTAGTACTAGCTGGAATTTCCCTTTCTTTCCCTTATTTTACCCATTGTTTTCTCATGCAGGTTATAAGCACATGTCATTGGCCCTGAACAAGACTGGCAGAAGCATTGTATACTCCTGTGAGTGGCCTCTTTATATGTGGCCCCTTCATCAGGTGAGCTAGTGAGCCCTATCCAAATTTTCTGAACTTGAAAAGAAAGGAGATGAATCCCCTTCAAAACCCAATCACATCTTCACCATCCCCAGTGTTGTAATTATAGTGTAAGTTCGCAACCTTTAGAAATAATTTTATTCTCTTTACTTCATTCATCACCCATATCTTATCAGCATCCTACTAGAACTAATCTTGAATCAACTCACTTCTTTACATATGTGCTGCATTCCACTCTCACCTTCCAAGCCACTCATGTCTCAGTGTCTCAGCCAGACTACTCTAATAGCATGGTCTCTCTACTTCTACTCTCTGTAACCCCATAGATTTTCCAGCGTCTCTGTCCTACAGTGATGACTTTCTGGGGCTGGGAAGTTGGTTCAGTGGTAGAGTGCTTGCCTCGCATGCATGAGGCCCTAGGTTCGATTCCTCAGCACCACATATGCAGAAAAAAGCCGGAAGTGCTGCTGTGGCTCAAGTGGTAGATTGCTAGCCTTGAGCTGAAGAGCTCAGAGACAGCGCCCAGGCCCAAAGTTCAGCCCCCATGAACCCACAAAAAAAAATGATGACTTTCCCTCACCAAACTGTTTTTCTATCCAAAAACACCATCAATCAATCCTTTTACACTTGCTTTTTGTTTCCTACCATCAACCTTTCCCCCCAAGATTTTTAAAGCATTGGTTGGCTCTTTAACATTGCAATATCATACCAGATATCTTCACTTACTACTTTACTAGCTTTCTGTCCATTCTTTACCACATTCATATGTTTAATTGCATTCTCTGGGGCTGGGAAGGTGGCGCAGTGGTAGAATGCTTGCTTTGCATGCATGAGGCCCTGGGTTCAATTCCTCAGCACCATACAAGCAGAAAAAGTCAGAAGTAGTACTGTGGCTCAAGTGGTAGAGTGCTAGCCTTGAGCTGAAGAGCTGAGGGACAGCGCCCAAGCCCAGAGTTCAAGCCCCATGACCCACCAAAAAAAAATTGCCTTCTCTGAACTCAGCTTTATTCTTTCACTTAACATTGTTTGTCTTCCCACTACACTGTCAATTTCATCAGTGAGAGACCTTGATTTTATCATTGTATCTCAAGTAAATTGCAGGTATAAAATAATTACTTGTGGGGTAAAACCCTATTATTTCTTTGAAATATCTGCAGTTGGTCTCATGTATTCCCCAGCATCTTAAACCTCATACATTGCACCTATTCACAAGCTTTTATTTGTTCTGTTAACAAATTATATGCCTAACATTCAGGTTGTATGTTTGATGAAATACTGTTGCATTTTGCAGCTTATTTTTTGCTTTATGTCATTTTAGTTATTTTGGTTAAAAAAGGGATACATGCTTATTTTAGAAAAGTATGAAAATGCAGTGAAGTTCCAAGAAAATATTACAAATCCATAATGCTAATACTTAGATAACAATTGGGAAATTTCCAGCATAAACAGTATTAAAATCTTAAGATTTTATATGCTGTCTACTACTGAAGCCAACTTTTTACAATGAAATTCCTTTATAAAATTTGTATTTCTGCGGGCTGGGAAGTTGGCTCAGTGGTAGAGCACTTGCCTTGCATGCATGAGGCCCTGGGTTTGATTCCTCAGCACCACATAAACAAAAAGAAAAAAGGCGGAAGTGACGCTGTGGCTCAAGTGGTAGAGCGCTAGCCTTGAGCTGAAGAGCTGAGGGACAGTGCCCAGGCCCAGAGTTCAGGCCCCACGACCTGACCCCCCCCAAAAAAAATTATATTTCTGTACCCACTGTCTTGTATATAAGTTTATCTGATCTATGGAAAGGGAATAACAGAAACAGCAGGACAAAGGATGAACTAATGCAACAATGATACTCACTAGACACTATATTGGAAATGAACTTTACAACTTGGGAGGGAGGGAAGTGAGGGTTAAGCAGGGAAAAATGAGAGAGGGGTAATGGTGTTTAAAAAGAAATCTACTCATTATCTTACTTTTGTAACTGTAACCTCCTTGTTCATCACCTTTACAATATTTTTTTAAATTAGATTTCTCCATGGAGGCCTTTAAACTAGAGGCTTTAATTGGGATGTCCTTTAAATTTGACTTTTTATTTCATAAGTTAGAAAACAAACAAGTCTTGTTTTTCTTCACAGCCCAATTACAAAAAAATCCGACAGTACTGCAATCACTGGAGAAATTTTGCTGATATTTATGATTCTTGGGAAAGTATAAAGCTCATCTTGGACTGGACAGCTTCTAATCAGGACAGAATTGTTAATATTGCTGGACCAGGGGGTTGGAATGATCCAGACATGGTAAGGACCTGCATCCTCCTGTTCAAGGCCCTGTGGTATACCTATTTGACAATTTTTTGTTGTGATGGTGGTGGTACTAAGGATTGAACCTTAGACCTCACATATGCTAGGCAAATGTTCTACTATTGAGCTACATTTCCGGTGTTCCTGGGAAGCTTTTTGTGAAAGTACTTAGATCAGGACAATGTTGGAAAATGGCTTGTGTACAACTTTAAAGTGTTTTACCTTGTCTTATTTGGTTTCATTCTTTTCCCCAGTTAGTGATTGGCAACTTTGGACTTAGCTGGGATCAACAAGTAACTCAGATGGCTCTCTGGGCTATCATGGCAGCTCCTTTATTCATGTCTAATGACCTCAGACAAATCAACCCTCAAGCGAAAGCTCTACTTCAAAATAAGGATGTGATTGCTGTCAACCAAGACCCCTTGGGAAAGCAGGGGTATCGCCTTAGAAAGGTATGGTAAACAATGCTCTAGGGAGAAAACAGCTAAAAAACACCTGTGTTCTTTACAATTCAATCAGTGAGCGGTCTTGTTTATTTTGGGTGGCCAATTTACAATCCTGTCTGTGCCTCCTGTGTGCTAGGATTGCAGACATGTACCACCATGACTTAAGTGTGGTAGTTTATTTTGTGGTAGCTTTTTATATTACTAGTAAAGTACCAAGTGTGTCTTGGACCTAAACTTGTTAGATATGAAGACGTGAGTAATTTTCGAGATTATTTTTCCCTTGATTTTGATGCTAAAATCAGTAATAAAATGGCTACTAAGAGAATTACTTTATTTCCAAAATAAACTACCTTACAATTTCTTTTTCCTACAAGAGTTTGATCTGACAAGATTGAATGGTATCTTGTCAAGGAAGCTTGCTACAAGTTACAAAGCAATCACACATCTTTTTTTTTCTTGGTTTTTTTTTTTTTTTGTGGGTTTTCAGGAAAAAGACATTGAAGTGTGGGAACGACCTCTCTCAAACTTAGCCTGGGCTGTAGCTCTGAGAAACCTGAAGGAAATTGGTGGACCTCTTTCTTACACAACATCACTTGTTTCTCTGGGTAAAGGCGTTGCCTGCAATCCTGGTTGCTTCATTACACAGCTCCTCCCCATGAAGAAGGATTACGGCTTCTATGGATGGACTTCCAGTTTCAAAACACAAATAAATCCCACAGGCACTGTTTTGCTAAAGCTAGAAGCTATTAGTGTAAATTGAAAAGCTTAGTACTTTGAAATCTATTTTTTCCAGTGACTATTTCCTGCCTGCTTCTTTGCATTTCCACTATAAAAGATCTACTTCCTTGAATAAAATTTCCCTAAATTAGAACTTAAAAAAAATCTTCCTAAAATCCAAAGAACAGTTTGGGAGTAAAGCTAGACTAGGTAAGTCTGTGGCATTTGCCTTTTTAAGTATCTTGGGCTTTTTTTATATCTTCCCTTGATATATATTCTTAGATTTGTCTTTGGATTTTCTGTAGTCAGCATATATTGTCTCAGTGTATATTATACAAAGTTTTAAGAATCATGTCAAGAGTTATTTATATTTTTATTTGATTGTTGTATCAGTTAGTTAGAATGAGATTACTAACAAGCGTAATTGGGGATTTTTTGAATTTTTTGTTTGTAGAGTTTCTGGGCAGTGATCATAATTGTTAAATCACTGTGATATATGTCTTAATCTTTGGTGATATTAAGTGTTATTTCATTTGCTTAGTTAATATACTATTGTTTAGACTGACTGGATATGGAATCATGAATAAAAGGACATTTTCTTTCATTAAAAAAATATGAGGGCTGGGAAGGTGGCTCAGTGGCTTGCCTTGCATGCAACTACTAAAAAAAAGCTCTTGGGGCTGGGAAGGTGGCTCAGGGGTGGAGCGCTTGCCTTGCATGAATGAGGTCTTGGTTCGATTCCTCAGTACCACATACGCAGAAAAAAGCCGGAAGTGGCGCTGTGGCTCAAGTGGTAGAGTGCTAGCCTTGAGCTGAAAAGCTGAGGGACAGTGCCCAGGCCCAGAGTTCAGGCCCCACGACTGGACCAAAATAAATAAAAGCTCTACTTTAATTGCCTTTGTGCTAGACTGTATAATAAATGTATTTTAACTATCCCAACCCTAAAAGTGGTTATCCACCAAGTCAAGACTTAAACCCAAGCTGTTGCTACTACACTTCTGCCTAATTGGTACTTGGAAGACTCAGAATTAGTGAAAAAGAAAAGAAAATGTCAGGCACCATTGGCTCAAGCTTGTAATCCTATTTAGGAGGCTGAGACCTAGAGGATCAAGGTATGAATCCAGCCTGGGCAGAAAAGTCTGGACTCAATTTCCAACTAGCCAGCAAAAAGCAGGGCTGGAAGCACGGCTCAAATGGTAGCACAGGAAATCAGCAAGCAAGCCAGCCAAGCAAGGATGAGGCCCAGTACCAGTTTTTAAAAAAATAGAATAGAATCAGCTAAACATTTGCTAGGTGGGAATAACGTTGAAACTCATCTTCAGGTTTGTAACATAGACCTAACAAATATAGGTCATTTTACTTTATCCAAGGATAGTGATACATGAGGATGCAAGATACCCTCTCTACTTTAGATAATTGTTCTATCTCACACATTGCTACTATGAGGTAGTAATATCCAAACTGGGGTACTCAGGCACAGATAATTTTCAGGGAAAATTACTGGCATTCTAGGTCCGTTTTTCTTTTTTTTTTGCCAGTCCTGGACTTGAACTCAGGGCCTAGGCAGCACTCTACCACTTGATCCACAGTACCACTTCTGGCCTTTTCTGTTTATGTGGTAAGGAGGAATTGAACCCAGGGCTTTATGCATGCTAGGCAAGCATTCTAAACCTAAGCCTCATTCCTAGCCACAGATCCCTGCTTTTCTTAGTTTGAACAAATCTCAACACAAAGCTTCAAGGTCCTCCCTTCATATATGAAAACACACCCTTGTTCCTGAGCCAAAGTTATGTTTAACTCCCAGCCTCATGCTATTTTGCTCACAAGTGGCGCTCTACAACTTGAGCCCCACCTTAATTTCTACTTTTTGCTAATTAACTAGAGATTAGTTTCATAGAATTGTCTGCCTTTACTGGCTACAAACTTGATTCTCAGATCTCAGCCTCCTGAGTAGCTAGAATTAAGTGTTGAGCTACCACTGTCCCAGTCAAAACACAAAAGTGAAGCCAGGCATTGGTGGCTCATTCCTGTAATCCTAGCTACTCAGGAAGCTGAGATGTGAGGATTGCTATTCAAAGCCAGCCCAGGCAGTAATAGTCCATGCCACTTATTATCCCTAATTAACTACCAAAAGGCCAGAAATAAAGCTGTGAGTCACATGGCAGTGCACTAGTTTGTGCACAAAAGCTCAAGGACAGTGCCTCCTCCGAGCTTAAGCCCTAAGAATGGAAATACCCACAAAAGTATGTGGAAACGATTTTACCTTCAATTACCAATTTTCATAAAAGCAATATCCAGTTGACAGAAACAGAATTGCTAACTACAGACTTAACTAGGTTTTGTTGCTGAATAAAGATCTAAAGATAAGTAAACAGAAGGATAGGGTAAGAGGAAAAGGATGTGTAATTTTAAACTACATTGAGACATTTTTAAAAAGGACACAAAATTCGTAGTTAAAATTTCTTAGGACGCTTAACACAGTAAATTATGTTCTTTGCAATGCTAGTAAGATGTGTAGGATAAATGCTTAAGGGAGTGTACTAAAGATGTGATACCTAATAGAGTATATTATACATAGAGAACAGGGCCTGTGTTAATAAGATGCCTTAAGTATCAAAAGTATGAAATTATTTACCTTTTAGTAAACTTTTATTAGTCTCTTTGGATGTTACTGCTCTGCTATTATCCTGGAACCTAAGTCTCTGTAACCATATAACCAGCATCATTTGCTTTTTATTTTTATTTTGTGGTTCTGGGAATTTAACTCGTGGCCACTTGAGCCCTACCTCTATCTCTGGATTCCCAAGTCACTCTAATTTCAGGTGAGCCGTCTGGCTAACATTTTTGCTTAACACCAAAGGGAATCCCATCAAAACACCAGATGTAAACTTAGCCATTCACATCCAATCAAATGGAAGTACTAAGAAACATGAAAAACATCCAAGGAGAATTTTGATGATTATTCCCTCCCAAAAGACCAAAGCAACCAAATGAAGTGAATTTGACCTCACAATTTTATTGTCTTCATAACGAAAGTTGGAGCTTAAAACTGGATCACTTGCCCCTGTAACAGAATAGGAAAAGAGTTGTTTTACAAAGTACCACCATTCTATCAAGAACATTAGTTTTAAGGGGATCAGCATACTAGTCTGCTTATTGTCCTCTTTCCTTTTGAAAGCTCACACCAAAAATCTGAATCATTTTAGGTATCACCATTTATGTGCAATTTTATGTCTTCATCTTAAGGACTATGCACATAGTCCCATAAATTTAGAAACTACAAAATTGGGTCCCAAGCACTTAGGAAAACTCATGTTTTAGAATGTCCAAGTACAAATCATCACTGCTCCAAATTAAAGCATAAAGCTGTTGTTGTAAAGAACATACCTTTCTCTTTTTATCTCCACCCAATTCAAAATGTTTGCATCTCTTAATAGCTAGCATTCTCTTAGATCTACAGTTGGGCTCAACACATTCAAGTCTCAGCACAATCTTCTTTGTAGTTTTAGCCTGCAAAAAATTTTTTTTCACAAATTACCTACAGTTGTACCTTGAATTTATTGTTTAATGAGACTACTCAAAGACACATTCTCCACTAATCCTCAACTTTTAAAGCCCACCTCTTTATAGAGTTCTGGTGCTAGTTTGTAGTTATCAGACCCTATCTACAAAAACTTAAACCTGAACTATATAGTGAGACCTTCTATCAAACAAAACCAAAACCTAGCCAGAGGCATTATATAGAATTTAGGATACCAGTGGAAGGACTAAATGGCTACTCTAAGGGAAGAATTTTTTTTTTTTGAGGGTCGTGAGGCTTGAACTCTGGGCACTGCCCCTGAGCTCTAAGTTCAAGGCTAGTACTCTACCACTTGATCCACAGCACCACTTCCGGTTTTCTGAATGGTTTATTGGAGAAAAGAGTCTCATGGACTTTCCTGCCGAGGCTGGCTCTGGACTGTGGTCCTCAGATCTCAGCCTCCTGAGTAGCTAGGATTACAGGCGTGAGCCACCAGTGCCCAGCAAGAATTTTTTAAATGTTTTTTTCCTTTGTTGTTGTTGTTGGAGTTCTGGGATAGAACCTCAGGCATCTTCCAGGAGATAGCCAGCAAGAGCTTAACCAGTGAGTTACACATACTTCAGCCGCTCAAAACAAATTTTTACTGCAACCAAGGTTGGAGGATTCAGACATGATGACAACACTGACCAGATTTATTTCCACTTGAGGGCACCATCACTTTTTGCCTCTTTGGAAGCTTAACAGAAAATTAAAATATTGAGGCAGTTCCGTACTGTTGAGCAAAGTAAGAGTTTAAGTAACACTTCTAAGTCCACTTACTAGGTATATCACTACAGGCAACTGGACTAACTTTGCTGAGATCAATTCTATCATGTAGTACAACAGATGACAAATACAAGATCGTTACAATTAATTAGCATGGCAATTAGTAAAAACCACTAACTTTTTTCCGGAAAATTGGCTTAGTCTGACCGCCATAGCCACTCTGCTTCCTGTCATAACGACGCTTTCCTGGGGGAGAGGGGGCAGAAGTTATTTGTTATGTTGTGGCAAAGATCACAAACAATGAAGTAAACACAGAAATGAAGCCTGAGACACTCTGTCTAGGGGAGGGAGAGCAATCAGAAGGGGGTGACTGGAATACATTGTAAACACGTGGGGACTTAACAATGGCATCCTTTCCCCTACCTATCACAACAGACACTTGGATAAATCTTGGGCTCTCTTGCATTAATATAGGGGCAGCAGGGGGCAGGTAGAGAACATACATCAAAATCAACTCCCTGAGCTCGGAGTAATACCAGCAGCTGGGAAACTGAGAACAGCCTAGACTAGTTGAGATCCTGTCATCTCCCAGGCTCCCCTCCCAATCACCCTCTGGCAAGCAAAACAAATCACATAAGAGTCATCTTACCCTGGGCATACAGAGAATCCTTGCCCTTCTTGTACTGTGTTACTTTGTGAGGTTGGTGCTTGCCACACTTCTTACAAAAAGTACGGCGGGTTTTAGGAACGTTAACCTAGTAAACATTCAAAACGTGCGGTTATTGGAATACAGTGCCCTTCCGGACGTAGCTCAAGTTGACGAATACTACAAAGACTGGGTTGTTAGCGAACAACGATTCCAGAGTAGCCGAGATTCCCCACACTCGCTTCAAACACTGCGCCCACCGTTTAAACCCAGGAAACAAGAAACCTTATAAGCCCCACCCACGACTCACAGACCCCACTTCAGTTCCGCGCCCCGGAGACCTGTTTTTTCAGGGTCCCTTCCACCACTTTCGGATTTCTTTGGTACATAGGGGCCATGCAGTGGGCCAGCTTATTGGGACAATACCGACCCGACAGTACCATGGTAGATGGAATGAGGATTAAGATGGATTGTTACCAGAGCCCCAACCAAGAGCCTACCATGGTGGCAGGAAGCCCGCAGCAGCGCCAAAAGAAAGAGGCAGGGCTGGAAACGGAAGTATATAGGAGCTTCCGGGCCGGACTTCCTCCGGAGTCGGAAGGAGCAACCATAGAGTCTAAGGTTCCTTGCATAGCGCCATCTGACGGTTCAGAGGATCCAACCGAGAGCAGGGCGGGGCCGGGGGGGGGGCGGTGGTGTTCCACCACCAAGTCTTTACATCTCACTCTACTTCCTCCCTCCCCCAGCCTTACAGCTTTTCCTTATTTCATAACTTTGGCGGCTGCTGCTACACGGTAGTGATAAGTGAAGGAAGCAATGCTCTTCCCAGGATCTCTGGCCACCCTATACCTGAGAGCTTATATTTGTGTCATGGGAATAGGCTCCCTATGTATGTTTCTTTCCTGAGCCACTTCAAGGTTCCTGGGAACATCTTTCTACGTTTCTCCAAGAGCTGCTGGTTTAGTGAAGTCTTGGTGGGAGCAACTTTCTCCAGTTCATCTATCACTTACTTGGCTAATTGGTACGCTTAACAAACAGGCGTTTATTGAATGCCTATTTTGTGTCAAGCACTCTGCTAGAAGGAGGGGTCCAGTAAGCTAGTGTGATCAGGATGTTCAATTATGGACAGAGTCCATTGAACAATAGGAACAATGATCTGCATTAAAGCAACACTAAGCCATGCATGCACGTGTTGGGGTGGGTTGGATGGGTACTGGAGCTTGAACTAAGGGCCTGGCCTTGTTGTTGGTCATGGGTTTGAATACTGGGCTTGAACGCTGTCCCTCAGCTCTTCAGCTCAAGGCTAGTGCTCTAGAACTTGAGCCACTGCTCGACTTCTGGTTTTCTGAGTGTTTTTTTTTTGGTCGGCTGTGGGGCTTAAACTCTGGGCCTGGGTGCTGTCCCTCAGCTCTTCAGCTCAAGGCGAGCTCTCTACCACTTGAGCTACAGCGCCACTTCCGGTTTTCTGGTGGTTTTATTGGAGATAGGAGTCTCACAGTCTCTCCTGCCTGGGCTGGCTTTGAACCGCGATCCTCAGATCTCAGCCTCCTGAGTAGCTAGGATTACAGGCGTGAGCCACCAGCACCTCTGAGTGGTTTATTGGATATGAGTCTCAAGGACTTTCCTGCCCTGGCTGGCTTTGAACTGCTATCCTCAGATCTCAGCTTCCTCAGTAGCTAGAACCATAGGCGTGAGGCACTGGCACCCGGTTCCCTTAGCTTTTTTCACTCAAGGCTAGTGCTCTACCACTTGAGCCACAAATCCACTTCTGGCTTTTTGGTGCTTAATTGGAGATGAGTCTCATGAGCTTTCCTGCCAGGGCTGACTTCAAACCTTGATCCTCCAATCTTAGCCTCAGTCTTCTCAGTAATTAGGATACAGGCATGAGCCACCAGTGTCCAGCTCAAAGCAACAAATTGTTTAGTTGAAGAAATAAGTTGGCTGCTCCTAGTTCTGAAATGTGATGATAGAAAATTGTCCACTTGGGCTGGGACTATGGTTTAGTGGTAGAGTGCTTGCCTAGCATGCACAAAGCCCTGGGTTTGATTCCTCAGTACCACATATAAGAAAAAGCCACCAGTGGTCCTGTGGCTCAAATGGGAAGAGTACTAGCCTTGAACACAGAGAAGCTCAGGGACAGCGGCCAAGCTCCAGGACTGGCCAAAAAGAAGAAAAAAAGAAAATTGTCCACTTATGCTATATGGACCAAGAGTGAGATTCCCTGCATACCTGACAGCAGACATGTATTAGATCTCAAGACAGTCTAACAGGGCTGGGAAGGTGGCTCAGTGGTAGAGCGCTTGCCTTCATGCATGAGGCCCTGGGTTTGATTCCTCAGCACCACATAAGCAAAAAGAAAAAACCAAAAGTGGCACTGCCAAAAGAAAAAAGCCAGAAGTGGCACTGCCAAAAGAAAAAAGCCAGAAGTGGCACTGCCAAAAGAAAAAAGCCAGAAGTGGCACTGTGGCTCAAGTGGTAGAGTGCTAGCCTTGAACTGAAGAGTTGAGGGACAGAGCCCAGGCCCAGAGTTCAGGCCCCACGACTGGACCCCCCCCCCCAAAAAAAAAGACCGTCTAACAGAGACCAGGTGGTGGAATATGCCTGTAAACCTAGCTACTCTGGAAGCTGAGATGAGGAGGATCATGGTCTGAGACTGTCCCGGGCAGTCTAAACAACAACAACAAAAGCTGGGCATTGGTGGCTCATGCCTGTAATCCTAGCTACTCGGGAGGCTGAGATCTGAGGATCATGGTTCAAAGCCAGCCCCGGCAGAAAAGTCATGAGACTCTTATCTCCAATAAACCACTAGAAAACTCAAGCGGTAGAGCGCTTGCCTTGAGCTGAAGAGCACAGGACAGCGCCCAAGCCCAGAGTTCAAGCCCACAAACAACAAAAGCAAAAAGGCCTGGGTCATGGCTCTTAGATTTGTCTGCCTTGGATGGCTTCAAATAGATCTCAGTCTCCTGAGTAGCTTGGATTACAGGTGTGACCCACTGATACCTGAGAAAAGTTTTGTATTTTAAAATATCAGCTCAAATCTCAGTACCTGCTATGCCCCAAGAAGTTTCAAGAAGTGAAACAGTGAGATATTAAAGAGCCTCTTGTGCTAGGGAACAATTACAGCTTCTATGGGACATAGCTCTGATGATAGAACACCTAACTAGCAAGTAGGAATAAGTAAAGTAACAATCTAGCTGAGAAAGTTTGAAGAATGTTGAACTTAAAAATGAATTGTTCCATACAATCCACACAGTAATTCTAGGAAACAGGGGGTACTATTGTTCCCATTACACCTGCAAAGATAATGAGTCTGTGGGATGTTAAAAAAAACCTTGTTCTATTGTCACCAGTATTTAGTGGATTCAAGATGCAGACCCAAGTAATCTGACTCCAGAGCCTGGGTTCCTTTACTATTATATACAACACTGCTGTTGTGTTCTGCTAATTATAATAGTTAACAATTATGGAGCACTTATGTTAGGTATTTTTGTAACCACCTTACATGTAACCTCTTTTAATCCTGACAACACCCAGGAGGTATATAGCATTTCATTCCTGCTTACTAAGGGAGGAAACTGAGGCATCAGGAACTCTGAATTTGAGTAACCACTTAGAGGGTTATTTTCTGAAGCTGGAATGTGGTCTTGTCATCTAATCACTGTATTACACTGAAGAAGCAGGTGCATCTGCAGGACAGAGAATGGACTGAGAGGCAAGAGGAGAAGCAGGTGGATTAAAGGATAAGGAACTTGAAGTCCTGAAGCATAAGTCCAGAGCCAACTCTCTGGTCACCCTCTTTGTTGTTGGATGGTCTTTTCAATAAGATAATTACATCCATACATGCTGCTTGTAAAAGCACTTTTACTTTTCATAAAATTTCCCCCAATACTGCCTGAAGTCTCCTTGTATTTTTCTCTCTGCAGACATTTAAAGCAATCTGACTGACTTTTAGAATGTTTCTAAAGGCCTATTATTATTGTTATCATTAGAGGTACAGGGATTTGAGTAAGAACCTCACATTGCTTAGCTTGATTGTTCTACCATTTGAGTCATGGCTTCAGCCCTATGTTCTTGCTGATTATTGTGAAGTCTAGCAGACTTTTCTGCCTGGGCTGGCCTGAAACTGAGATCCTCTATAATCTCATCCTTCCAAGTAGCTAGATTATAGACATGTCATTAGCTTCTCAGTGTTTTATTTATTTATTTATCTATTATCTATTTAGCTGGCCCTAGGGCTTGAACTCGGGGCCTGGGCACTGTCCATGAGCATGAACCTCTTTGTGCTCAAGGCTTGCACTTACCACTTTGAGTCACAGCACTGGCTTTTTCTGAATAATTTATTGGGTATAAGATTCTCACAGAGGCTGGGAAGGTGGCTCAGTGGTAGAGCGCTTGCCTTGCATGCTTGAGGCCCTGGGTTCGATTCCTCAGCACCACATAAGCAAAAAGAAAAAAGCTGCAAGTGGCGCTGTGGCTCAAATGGTAGAGCACTAGCCTTGAGCTGAAGAGCTGAGGAACAGCGCCCAGGCCCAGAGTTCGGGCCCATGACTGGACTCTCCCCTCCCCCTCCAAAAAAAAGAAAGAAAAAAAAGAGTCTCACAGATATTTCTTCCCGGAGCTGGCTTTGAACCACAATCCTCAAATCTCAACCTCATGATTAGTCAGGATTACAGGCATAAGCCACTGGTGCCTGGCAGACTGTTTTTTTTTTAATGTTAGTAACATGAAGACAATAAATATAGTCCCTCTTCATCTAATCAGCTTTATTCCTAGAGTTCCCCATATGATATGATATGGAAATTTTGTTTAAAATACAAAATATTTAATAGAGAACATTGAATATCTTCAACATATATAATGTGCTCATAATATTCTGTGATTACCATTGTCAAATTTATAAGCACATCAATCAGCACTCAGTTATTGTTTTGTATGTATCTGTAATGAGGACATGTATCTGTTCTAACAAATTTCATCTAAACAGTACAGTATTATTAACTATAGCCACTGTGCTGTACCTTAGATTTCCAAAACTTATTTATCTTTATAACTCAAAATCTGTATATCAATGCTGGTCTGTATTTTGGATGGGCCTTTACTCATTAGTTTATCCTAAAATGAGGCACTCAGAACTTAACAATAGGTCTCTAGGTGTGGCCTGGCCTTACAAAGTATATGGCATATTCACAATCTTCTGTCAAAACGTTTTACTTCTACAAGAAATCCTAACAATCACTTTGGATTTTCCGTCAGCTATGTTATGATATGACATTTCTTTTGATTTGTACAAGCAAACTCTCAGAACCATTCCTAAAAAATGTTATTGCTACCCTACTTTTATCTAGAGCCATTTGAAATTCAAAGTTAGGGCCTAATCATGGTACATCATCCTTATTCTGCCGAATTTGCCTTTTCACATCAGATGATCAGGATCTTTGGGGCATTATTGCCTGCTTTTGTCATCCAGTGTAGCAACACCTTGCACTACTCACAGATTAACTAGGTTACTTTTTCAATCTTCCTCAGGGATCATTAATAGAAATGCTGAACAGGTAGCACCAAAACAGGAACTAACATTAC